TGAGAGGGCTGGGTGGCCATGGGGTTGGTGGCAACAGCCCTCGAACAGCATAGGCCTGGTGGCCCCAGAGCAGTGGATCCATGGCAGCTTCGGGGCAGCTCTGGGGAATGGAGCCACAGCGCCCCAATGCCCCAAGCCCTGGCAACGTTGGAACTGGGAAGCCATGGTGGCCCCGGGATAACTGAGTCCAGCTGCCCTGGGAAGTGGAGCCCTCGGCAGCCCTAAAGCCATAGCAGTCCCAGAACCCTGGAGCTGTGGCAGCATTCTCCCACCCATGGTGCATAGTTAACCAGTTAAACATATAGTTTAGCCAGTTAACAATTTACACAGGATTTTACATCCCTACTAAATACCAACTCAAAAGCAGATCCACTGATGTCAACAGGACTACTTACTTAAGATGAAGATTTAGGATCTGATCAAAATATCTGCACAGAACTTGTGCTTTTAGATTATTTAAAACACTATTGATTGATGACCCAATGCTTGTAGTCTGTTCAAGCTATGATAAATATACCATTTAACTAACTTTTATTTGTTGCCCCACTGAGTAATTTTAACTTCATTAAACACAAATAGAAGTTCATAGTTTGATACAGATAGTGAAGGGACTGAATTTATACTTGCATAATCAACCATACCATTAACACAGCCACTATGGACGTGACCTAAAAGCTAATCCACTGACAACTGATCCATGATATAACTCAAGTAGCAAATATTAATGTGGTGCAGAATGAAATTAGCAACAAAGGGGAAAAGCAACTAAATATACAAATCAGAAACTATATAAAATGAAATAGCTAGAATACATAAGATGTATGGCTAACATTCCATAAAAAAGTGTCAAAAGAACATTAAGGTTGCAAAGTTAATCTCTAGTCCTTCACATGGAGAGATCCAGGCAGAGCCCTGCTGACAATAAAGGGGTGCTTTATACAAATCCAACTGTAAAAAAAAAAAAATCAAGGCTTTAAGCACTGAAAAGCCAGGAATTGCCAAAACTTAAACCACCTTAACTCTGAGTATTTGTCTACACAGTTATTACAAAATAAAACTAGTTATAAAATAAAGCACAATAGTTATTCTGCACTAGCTCCCCATGTAGACACTCTTATTTCACACTAAGGTTATTACTGCACAGCCCCACACTCCAGATTACGGGAGTGTGAACTGCAGCTCTAGTAGTGCTTTTGTGCAGTATAGCTTAACCCACATCACAAGTGCCCATGTGGGGAGCTAGTGCAGAGTACCTATTCCACAAAAGCTATTCCAGGCTATTTCTTCAAGTAGACAAGCTGTGAAATAGCTATGCTCACACCAGGACTGATGTGCTAGTGGGCTTGGTATAGGTTGGTAGCAGCCATGTTTCTGTTTGATGAAGTACCTTTTAGCCCTGATACATTTAATTTTCACTGAGGTAATCATACCTGCTTTATAGCTTGCTGAAGTTTCTCCAAATTGATTTCTTTGGCTTCCTTTAGTAACGTCTTTTCATCCATCTTTAACATAGAAACTCTGTATTGGCAAAGCTCCACCACAACCACATCAGGCTGCACCTCCTGTATGGTCTGAAAAAGATGGATTTATTTGCATAAATGTAGATAAGATGAAGAGGAACTGCAGCACGTATTGATTTTTTTTTACATGAGCTATTCGTAAGCTATGGTTCTTCATAGGAATCCATTCTACAAATCATTTTCAATTAACATAACAATGAAAAATAAACTGCTTCAGGCCATTGATATTGCTCCAAGTTATCACGTGCTTTTAGCACCTACTTATTTGAAGAAAAATAAGGAAGCCAGAATTACCTGCCACTCATCTGGGGACAAGAACACGAAGTAACAACTGTGATGGATAAGTTCATTGTAAATGGTACTTTATGACCTTCAACATCACAAAACCTAGTTGGGACAGACCTTAGGGACTGATCCTAGCATAGATTTCCTTCTGCTCACCTGTTAGTGGCAAGTAGGGTGGCGGAGCCAATCTGTATTGCAGAATTTGCACGGGACAACGTAATGGGCATTTGTTCTTTAAATCTGTCCTAATTCAGTTTTTCTGCCCCAAATTTTGAGAAACACAATCCCGGTTTTTAAAGCCCTGTTCTGCTTCCCACATTCCTAGCATGCAGAACAATTAAAGTTCCTTCCAGCTTCCATTCTTAGCATGATCCCAAATGACTATGCTACAACATATGATCATGTATTGTTGTCACAATGTTACTTTAATGACAATCATGCCAGGAAACTGTATCAATAAGTGAGAATGCCAGCCCTAAAGCTAGCTACTTGGACTATACCTGCATCTGCCCTAAAAACTCATCATCAAGTGCATTCATGAAAATTACTGATAACATTTGAGACTTGCCAGCAATTCATTTTAATCAAATTATTGTTTAAATACTTTGGCCTACAACTTGGTACCATAATCTTATCAACCTGACAAGCTAAACCTTAGGAAGGAGTTTAGTAAAGCACAGGACTGAGAAAAGAGACTAAGGGTGCATCTACATAGCACAGCTTAACTCAAAACAAGCTACATAAATTGAGCCATGTCAACTGTGTATGTTATTTCAAAATAAGTTATTTCAAAATAGGGAGCATCTACACAGCACTTATTTCAAAATAGAGCACTCTTTCTCCGACTTCCCTTATTCCTCATACAATGAGGGTTACAGGAATCGGAGTAAGAAGTCCTCCAGCTTGACAGTATTTTAACACTATTTCAAAATAACTGCCTGCTGTGTAGATGCAGACTAAATTATTTTGAAATAGTGTTACAGTGTAGATGTACCCTTAGATTCTATTCTCAGCTCAGCCACCTAGTTGACACATGGTGATTAATTACCTTTCCACATCAGTACTAATTCACGAACCCAGGTATGATAAGGGTCCCACACTCTGGAGGTGATATAAAACCAAGGTCTAGATCATGGATTCACAAACTAGGGGGTGTGAAGAAATTCCAGGGGGGGCGCAAGGCGACTCAGCCTCCCTCCCCCCCATCAAGTTTTGCTTCCCTGCTCAGTTCCTTTTTTTTTTGCTGCTATTTTTGGGGGGCAGGGGCGTGAGGGTTTTTCAAAAGTCAAAAAGGGGGGGCGTGATGCCGAAAAGTTTGGGAACCACTGGTCTCGACAATGTATTACTACAACAGCATTCATGACACTTTTGCACAAGACTAGATCTTAGGCAGATACTGTTGGATTCCAAATAACTGATTTCAGGGTCTGTATTCTAATGTACAAGGCCTAATAACATAAATTCCCTTTTGTTCTGTGATCATTTAGTGGATAATCGGTAAGAAGCTACTTAAAGGGATGTTCCCTAACCTTATACACTACTACACATTTTAGTTCCAAAGTCAGGGCTGAATCATGCAGTTACATTCTCCTAACCAAATCCCAAGATGCCCTAATAATTATAACTTTGCTGTAGTGTTACAAATACAGGTTAGTTTCTTGTTAACTTTCTAGGCATAGAATAAAACATTGCTCCAACTGTATGTTTACCTTCACTACATCTCTTTTACTGCTGTCACTGAAGTGGGCAGTACCAACCACGAACACCTTAGACCCTTCCTCGGTGACCAGTTCGGTCACCGTGCTTGGCAGATTGGGCTTTTTCTGTCTCTTCTTCATCTTCATCTCCAGGAGAATTTTAAATGCATCTTCATCGGCTACAAATTTTAATAAAATATGCATGTCTATAAGCTGCATGTGAATGAAACAATTTAAAAAAAATACACAGGCATCTAAATAACTCAGCAGAATTTATATACCATTGTGTTAACACAACAGTCCTGGGGCTATACTGTTCCTGAGTTCTAGGTCTGAGGGGGCGCCTTTATGCATGGATCTCAGTCCTCCCCTTCTGATGAAGAGTTCAGCTGGTTATGAAGTACCAACCTTATTCCCCTGGCCATTGAAACTGGTTCTTCATGTAGTTCGTGAAGTTGGGAGAGAGGAGCAGGAGCTGCAACTGGTGGAAATAGGATGGTGGGTGGGAAGGCACAACATGTCTTGCAGAGATTTTTGCAGATTCCCTTAGGGTTCTCTGGAAACCATTGTACCTTGGTGCGGGGGGGGAGGGGGGGACAGCAAGAAAGGTGCGTGTGACTCAATGTCACTCCAGTGAAGCTGTGATGCTGGGCAGCCATTTTACAATTACAGGGCCTCTGCAGAGATGGCTCTGTGAGCTGCCATGTTTGTGGGCAGTTTTGCTGTGGGGACAAAAACCCGGTTGAGATTTCCCAGCAAAATGTCCCGTGCTGTAAGTCAGTGGTCTTCAACATTTTTAAGCACATGGTCACTTTTTGAATTCAAGTGCAATGTAAGATCTACCACAGACCCAAATACCCTTGCCCCATCTCCTTCGCGTTCCTTCTCTGAGGCCCTGTCCCTGCCTATTCCATCCTTCCTCCCTTCCCCATCTTCCCTCCCTTTCACCAGGCAGGGGCAGGGGATTGGAGCACAGGCTCTGGTGTTGGACTAAGGGATTTGGAGTGTGAAGGGGCTTTGAGCTGCGCCTGGGGCAGGGAGTTGGGGTGCAGGAGGGGGCTCGGGGTGCAGGAATTGGGAGGGAGTTTGGATTCAGGGGGGTTCAGGGCTGGGGCAGAAGAGGAGTTCATGACTGAGGCAAGGGTTCAGAGCTAGCTCCAGCTGGATACTGCTTACCTCAGGTGGCTCCTGGGTGGTGGTGCAGCGGGGCTAAGGCAGGCTTACTCCAGCCCTGGCCCTGCATCATACCCAAAGGAAACCAGCAAACTCCCTCCATCCCAAGCCCTGCTGTGCCCCCCACCTCTGTTCTGTGAAGATAGAATACAGGATGGGAGATGGGGCACCCTGACATCAGAACCCCTCTTCTCCTTTCCCTGCTCTGTACCACAAGCAGAGGGCTCCTAGGGAAGGGGGAGGGAGGCTCCAAGGCAAATGGCAGCAGGTGCACAGTAGTGGGGTGAGGGGTAGCTGAAGTGCTGCACTTGATAAAAGCCTCGACTAGTTTGGCCAAGATCACCTGTCAGAGGCTCCAAGATCTACCAGTAGATCCTGATCTACAGGTTGGTGACCACTGCTGTAAGTTTTGCCTCTGGTCAGAGTGATGGGGCCCCTGGTTATGTTACACACAGGATTAGATATCATCCTAGTTAACAGACATTGTTCTAGTCACAGAACCACCTCCAGCAGGGAGGTGTTCAGGATAGGCCCAATACCTATCTGTTCAGAATAGGCCCAATATGAGTATAAAACAGGACTAAACTCACTGGCAGAGAGATATGCGGTGGCTCGGGAGGTGGGGCTCGAATACATATTTTGGCAGACACGTAATAATTTATTTGCATATTCAATATTTGCATAATGAATATACAAACATGCAAATAAAATGATACCAGTCTGCCAAATGTTTGTGAATGGGATTTTCTACACAGGGAAATTTACCACCATAATTCCTATGCGGACACTCGTATTCCAGTAGGTTTGGAAGAGTTGCTTTAGAAGCAAATAAGCTAAACCAGAAGGCAGCATTCGTACTCTGGAATAGGAATCTCCATACAGGGAGTTATATAAGGGTAAATTGAAAAGTAAGTTTCCTTGCATTAGCAAGTCCTGTACATGTGGGAACAGGTACAGTGCAATCTACACTAGAAATGGTGCCAAATCCCAATGCAAGCCTCTTTAGATCTTGTCTACTCTGAAAATATACATTGGCACACTCTATAAACACCAGGGTTTAGGTTGGTTTGACTAAGTCTCTCATAGGTGTGAATTTTTCACTCCTACAAGATATACAGCTATGCTGAAATAACTTTTCAGGACAGACCAGCCCTAATGACACCAAACTGGGTGGGGTTGCAACTTCTTTGGAGGATAGGGACATAATTCAAAATGACCTTAGCAAGTTAGAGAAATGGTCAGAGGTAAACAGGATGAGGTTTAATAAAGAAAAATGCAAAGTGCTCCACTTAGGAAGGAACAATCAGTTCCATACATACAAGATGGGAAGCGACTGTCTAGGAAGGAGCATGGCGGAAAGGGATCTAGGGGTCATAGTGGACCACAAGTTGAATATGAGTCAACAGTGTGATGCTGTTGCAAAAAAAGCAAATATGATTCTAGGTTGTATCAACAGGTGTGTTGTAAGCAAAACTCGTGAAGTCATTCTGCCGCTCTACTCTGCACTAGTTAGGCCTCAGCTGGAGTATTGTGTCCAGTTCTGGGCGCCACATTTCAAGAAAGATGTGGAGAAATTGGAAAGGGTACAGAGAAGAGCGACAAGAATGATTAAAGGTCTAGAGAACATGACCTATGAAGCCAGGCTTCATGAACTGGGCTTGTTTAGTTTGGAAAAAAGAAGATTAAGGGGGGACATGATAGCGGTTTTCAAATATCTAAAAGGGTGTCACAAGGAGGAAGGAGAAAATTTGTTCCTCTTGGTTTCTGAGGACAGGACAAGGAGTAATGGGCTTAAAGTGCAGCAGGGGAGGTTTAGATTGGACATTAGGAAAAAATTCCTAACTGTCAGGGTGGTCAAATATTGGAATAAATTGCCAAGGGAGGTGGTGGAATCTCCCTCTCTGGAGATATTTAAGAACAGGTTAGATAGACATCTGTCAGGGATGGTGTAGGTGGAGCTTGGTCCTGCCTTGAGGGCGGGGGGCTGGACTCGATGACCTCTTGAGGTCCCTTCCAGTCCTATTATTCTATGATTCTATGAATTCATTAAAGCAGCCTGTGACTAGCCAGAAATGGAGGTAGAGAATGATAGCCATTGATTTCAATAGGAAAAGAAAACTACTTTGGTACCTTTTAAGTAAGATTTAGTACATATTTAAAACTGGTAGAGGTGGACAATAGGGATGTTAAGGACTAGTCGACTATCCGATAAGCAAATGCTTATCGGATAGTCGAGAGGATAGTTGACTAGTCGCTACCTCCCCCTTGCTCTTGCTGCCTCTATCAGATAAAGGCAGCAAATAGGGGAAAGATGGGGGTACTTCAAAGAGGCAGCGCTGCACGGAGCCCATGGTCATCTGTGCAGTGCTGCCCCTTCGAAACGCCGCGGCAGGATTTCAAAGCAGCAGTGCCATGTGAAGCCCAGGGTCAGCTGAGTCGTCCACAGCTGATCCTAGGCTCTGTGCAGCGCCTTCCTTTTGAAATGCCGCAGCAGCGTTTCAAAGGGGCAGCGCCATTCTATCGACTAATCAAATAGTCGATGCAAAAATGCATTGACTATTCAATTAGCAAAATAATCGATACTTAACATCCTTAGGACAAGTATAATTTTATTTTGAACAAACATGCTTTACAAGCCAATAGCTCTACAAGTTGCTCTACAAGTTAGCAGCAGTTTCAAGGTGCTCAGAGTCTGGAGTATCATAGTAGCCCAAGGGAAAAGGATTAGAGTACAGGTAAGGAGTCAAAGATGCAGGTAAACTGCAGAACCGTGAGATAAATAAAAATCTTATGGCTTAGTAATATACCATTTGGCTTCGATCTCCAGAAGTGTTGTGTGTGTACATCTGTCATACAGTGGATTCCATAGAAATCCTCTGGAGTCTTCCTTTAACTGGAATATACTTTCAGGTATATACCCAAATATGCGCCATTTTTCATTATTGCTGTTTTCAGATTTGGCCTTTATGGTAGAATTTAGCACAAATTTCCCCCAATTACATGTATACCTTTTCATACAGAGTCATTAGTTCCTTTTTAGATGAGTAACCACATTCTTACTACAAATGAAGTAGTGCAAACATTTAGCTTTACATTCTAAGGTTATGACATTTCTTTTTTCCTGCTCCAATTAATACATACAAATATTATGTGGTGCGTCTGCCTTTGGGTCATCTTCTGGTACATCCACTGGATCTGGAGCAACCTGCTTGAAATAAGAATTCAAAGGACAATGGTAATTATAATGAAATGGTTTATTTCTCCTCTCTCCTTGTTAGTCTGCTTAATTTGAATCCATGCGTAATATTTAAGCAGCTACATTATTTAGACAGTGACAGAGCTGAAAATCTGGTTTTTCAACTGCTCACTTAGATACATTTCCAGCTTACGAGTAAAATATATTGAAAAGTCATGTATAATCTATTTTGCAAAAAAACAGTATTTATAACACACACAGAGCTCACACAATGTGATTAAACATGCTAAGAGAGCAGACTAGTCTCTTTAAAACAGAGAAGAATTGTATCTGATTTAAACTTCTCTGCACAGATGATTTAAAAAGCATTTTACTCCTGGGAAACATTGTATTTCACTTAACTGCTGACCAGGCATCTTTTTAAACTCCTCTATCATTAGAAATCTGAGAAGAGTGCAAATCATAGAATATCAACCTTCATTCAAAAGGGTCTGTTATGTATTATGCCATTTTAAATTAATTGTAGGAGAGAAAGACCGACAGACTACAAAAGAAGGTTTGATCCTGCAAACACCATGCATGAACAGTCCAAGTTAATGGGACATGAAGTCAGGCACATGTGGAATTCTGAACGACCGATATCTAACTTGATGGCCAAAGATTTACTGAAAATGTTACATATAAACTTTAACACACAGAGGCAGACAATGCAGACTTGGAACACTCCCCATAATTCAGCCTCTAGTGTTTTGGGATAGATCCAATCTCCAAGCAAGTCAGAGAAATATAATTAAAGCAAAATGAGCCTACAAAGTAAAGCCCAGCTGTGAGCTATATTTAGGCAAGGGTATTATTTCAAGTTCTTTCAGGTAATTATTGGGAGGATCTGAAATTTTTCACTGTCACAAGCCAATGACTGGCTGTGGATCAATAATTATTCATAGTTATTTCCAAATGAAACCACTGGTAAAGAATCGACACCTGCCAGTATTTACTTTATAATTAAAGCCATTTCCAAAGGATGTTCATTTACTATTTCATATTTGTAAGCTTTCAAATTTGATAGTTTATTCCTACAAAAACAAAACAATCCTATATAGGAGGAGACTTTGTACCACATCTAACCTATTCTTTCATATCATAGTATGTCTGCTTACAGAAATTCTAGCACAATTTCTATTTATCATGTTTGGATCCAAGCTTAAAAACAATTACAAATGTAGGTGTTTCAAGTTAAATATCCAAATACATATTTAAAATTCTCAACACAGACATTTCAGGTACTTCAATAAGAATATGGCTGCTCCTTTTATGCATCCAAGTTTGAAAGTCTGGATCACAATGAACAACCCAACAAACACCTATATCAGTAAATTATGTAGTCAGTGACTGCACATTCATCTTATATGGCAGTTTGAACAGCATATATCCCATCACAGATCCCATTCAACTTATAATTTTACCTAGGGGTGCCTTTCTGGGCAATTTAATTAATAAAACTTAAAGTAAGAACAGACAAAGCATATCTGATAATTGAAAGCTTTCTATTACTTTTAGCGAGGAAGTTTTACTTCTCAGATCCTTGGGTCATTTCATTCATCAAATCAGCAATTCTCAGTGTTAAATACTAGGTGTAAAATCCCACTCCCAGTGGAGTCAACAAGGCTCTCAACTCAGCAGCAGTCTCCCAACCTGTTTTCTGACAAACACACATGCTGAAAGGTGAGAAGCAGCAGCTCTGCAGTACCAAATTTAAACAACTCCAGGCAGTGCATAACATTCCTCTTCTGCAATAAAAATCTATTTATAGACAGAATACAATTATCAATATAATCAAGAATCCACTCAGTCTCTGAATACCTACTTGCTGAGCCTTCCAGAGTAAGAAGTGCTTTTCAAACATACACAGTATTTCATATTATATTTTTCAAATATATGGCATAAAAACCCTAAAGCCATTATATATGGCAGAATGTATCAATAGGAGATTGAATGGGAGAGGGGAATGCTATTTGTTAGATGAAACACAGGCTTTGTCTACATTTCATCAGTTTAAAGAGCAGCCGCAGCTGTGCTGCCATGGCAGTGCTTTAAACTGAAAGCATGGCCACGGTGTGAGCGCTGGAAGTGAGCTCTCTCAGGCTGCATCTAGACTACAAGGTTTTTCTGGGACACCGGAAGTACAGTATCCCGGAAAAACTCCGCTGCGTCCAGGGAACGCGTGGGCTCTTCCACTTTTTTTTTTTTTGAGGAAGAACAGAAGCACTCTTTCAGAAGCCCTGTCTTCTTCCTCCCAGTGTAGACAGGCTAAATTTCAGAAAAGAGTCTTCTGAAAAAACTATCAGAAAAAGGTATGCAATTTGCATACCTTTTTCTGATAGATCATTGTAGTGTAAACATAGTCTGTGCCTGATCGCCATGGGCCGTCACTCTATATAAACCACCTCTGTGGGGGGAGTAGCTAGCAGTGCTGGGAGCAAGTCTCCCAATGCTGTGGCTTGGTTCATTCATACTGGTAATTTACAGTACTATAACTTGCTGCATGTGTGTGTGCATTTTAACAGCCGTGAGCCAGACAGTTACAGTGCTGTAAAGTACCAGTATAGACTTAGCCAGAGACTTAATCTGATGATTATTCAACACACACACCTGTCTTCCATAGCAAAGTATTTGCAGGAACATGGGGGGAAAAAAATCAGTTGAAAGAAGAGTAACAGAAGAAATCAACAGTAGAAAAAGGCATGACAACTCCTGCTTCAGCAAGGTACTTAATGTGCCTATAATGGGACTTCTCACCTGCACCAAGTTACTTGAACAATTTTACCATGAACCCTTGAGATCAGATAAGTAAAATATGAGATTCTCACCTAATTATCAAAGAAAGAAGGGTACATTTCTATCCCTCCCAGTTGCACAGAATAGCCTGAAAGTAAAACCCAGGGACCTCAAAAGTGAACATCAAGTAACAAGAAAACAGTGTTTAATTTAAAAAAAAACCCACCTCATTTTTTTTAACCAATTCCATGATTTTTAAATTCTTGGGCGTATGTTTAAGTACCTTGCTGATTCTGGTGCCTTCTATCATTGCTACTGGGAAAATATTATTCCCAAACCTACCTCAGGCTCTTGCTCCTCCTCCATTACTGAAGTGCAGTTTAATTTCACCAATCTGAAAAAGCCTGTAAAAAAATAAAAAGCAGGTGGGAGGAGGGGAAAAAAAGATTAAGTTGGAGTATTTATGAAAAACTAAACAAAAATACTGAAAAAGTAGGCATTCCCACCCCCCACTTTCTCCAGATAAATAGAAAAGGTAATAGAAGCAATTTAAAGATTATATATATATATATATATATAGTAAAAACTTATTTATGGAAGACATTTCAGAGACAGCAAAAACATTCGGATGAATGGAAGTTGGAAATATGGGGATTCGGAGTTTGCCAGCCCAGATACCTGTGGTTCTGCAATGTACAGGGTTATACCAATTTCTGCAGATCAGCTATACACAAATGGAAATATGGGGAAGGATGGGGGAGGGGGGAAAGCATGGGAAGAGAGAGAGTTCTTGATGACAGGGAAAGTGTTGTTCTACCTTTTTCCTGACATGACCCATGTTTCAACAGAAAATAAATTCATGCACCCTCTCCTTTATTTTGGGGACTCCCTTACCACCTAGCTAAACAACAGGAAGGTGATAGGAAACACCTCACCCTGGAGCCATTTAATATACTTGCAAGCCTCATGCTGAGAACCTAGGCACTAATTTTTCTCTGCCATAATGAACACTTATATTGGTGTCAAGCAACACACACATTATGAACCACCAGGCTTGACTACTCAGTAGCACTAAGGCCCCTTCACACAGCTCTCCTTTTTGGATGAAGAGACCTTAGAGGCTAGGGTGATAAGGGAGCCTGATTTTACAGGGACAGTCTTGATATTTGGGACTTTTTCTTATATAGACACCTCACCCCCATTTACCATTCTGCTACCTGGTCATTCTGTTAGAAGTTTCAGAAATAAGTTTGCCTCATTTATCCCACTCTTGTTTTCAAGTTTCATTTTTCCATGCTGCACCACATACCTTAATCACCTTCTTTCCCCCTGGACCCAGTCATGCAAGTTAGATAAAAAGGGACTTCAGTGACAGTCTAGGGCTGGGGTTCCCAAACTGTGGTATGCATACCCATGAGGATTACATGAGACATCTATGGAGGGTACATGGGAAAAACTGTGTAATGTTGTCTATTTTATTTATTACATTTTCATAATAGGCTATTCAGATGAAGCTTAAAATTCGGTGGGATTTTTTTTATATAAATACGGTAGTTAATTTACTTCAAGATGTACCAATGAGAACAGAGATTCACAAAGACACTGATGTACAGAGTCCTCCCCACCAATCATGGTTCAGCACCAAATGACTATTTCTTCCTTAAGCAAACCTTCTTCCATAGAACTCGTTTGTTAAACCACCAAAATATATGTTCATAAAATGAATCAGAGCCTTCAGTAACCAGATTTTTTTTCAGACACACACTTATATGAGCTTTTGGAATCAGGTTTTACTTCATGCTCTTTTGTTGCATAGTGTTGTGGAATTTCCAGTTTTCATTCAAATGGATTTTATGGCTTTCCAGATTCCACCTAAAGTTGGATATTGTAAGAAAAAGTATCCAACGGGGCAACAAGAAGTGTCAGTGCATAGCTCAGACAGCTGCCCACTAGTACAGAGGACCCTCTATGATTCACACCATAGCAACATCTACTGCTACTGGTTACCCAGCAAAGTATGACTCTGTAGACTTTCTATAAGCAGAATTCCCCATTAAGTCAGAGGGAGGCTATGCATAAAGCATCTACAGATCAGGCTCTGAACCTGTGTGGCAAACTACATCAACAAAACAAAAAAATTCAAGACATTAAGTTCCTGATGATTTATCCATCCACAGACAAGAATTGTACACATGCATTGCTAACATATTTTCAAAAATTATTTTTATTACATTGTGCATAATAAAGAACAAAAACCACACACCACCACCTGCTTTTTCTTTTGCAAAAAACATATGCAAAACCAGGACACCAACAGGGCAGGAAGAGAATATAAAATGAAGGGATGGGTAAAGCTAAAGTGCTATTTTAGCTAACACCTTTCTTTTTTTATGCCTCAGTAGCACTATACATAAACATAACAAAAGGTAGTTGTTCCTGCTCCAAATAGCTTTCATGGTAAACAGACAATGCAGAAAAGCATAATTCTATATTAGCTATCTCTCAGTTAGACCCACTTAGCTACTACACAGGCATAGTTCAGTATCTGAACTTGGCATTTGTACATAAATAAGCAAATCAAGTGCCCAGAGTTTTTCCAGTCTCCTCATACATCTGAGCTGTAGAGGAAATTGAAGATTTGGTACATTTGAATACATACCTTTTATCTACACTTGAGAGTTACATAGAGTAAATTACAAGCTCCAGTTAAAAAGTAAACTCTTGCATACAGGCTTGGAAGTATTAGATTTTTATCAGTATTACTGTAAACACAAAAAGCAATAAAAAAATATTTCCATCAATTGACACAGGCAAAATAGGAAAAATGCTGCTTAAGAACTAGACTTTAAATTAAAGGTCTTTATATTGCATATTTTGATGTGATGTTAAAAATTTGAGTTTTAGCAGTTATCAAGTTTTAGTTTTTTACATCTCAATGTCTACTGTCATTCAGTCAGACCCCTCCCACTGTGTGTCACACATACACCCACCCACCACACAGGGCTGTCCCTAAGGGGTCCGGGACCTGGGGAAACCCCACCCCTTGCCCCAAACACAGGGTCCGGGGCCATGCCCTCTCATCCCTAGAACCTACTCCCACTCCACCTCTCCCCACAAACCCTGTCCCACCCCCTCCATGCCCTTTGCCCAAAGGCCCCTTCTCCCCGAGATGCGTGACCCCTCAGCTTCAGTGGTGAAGCAGAGTGACCTGGATGGGAGATGGTAGCAGAGTGGAGCAGGCTGTTGCGCTGCGCTGCTTCCTGCAGCTCTCACCATCACAGTTCTCACCATCACAGTCCCTGCTGCCATCCTGTGCCAGACCCCGCCCGCCCAGGAAATTCCCCGAGCTGCCCACAAACGAATATCAATATGGGGGACGACTGCTCTGCACCCACCCCATAATTTTGCATACCAGTGAAAATGTAAATGGATAAATTGAAAGGTGATTTAAAATAAACACTGAGTTCATCTGCTGAAATTATTAAAAAATAAAAGTGAGTTCTACCAAGTCTCATTATATAGAAACACCAAGTGATGTTAAATCATCACATAGATAACATTTTTAACCACCACCAATTCTCAAATTGTGGGTGTCACTATGGACAATTAATGGAAAAAATCTTCTCTGAATTCTACTCAGTTAATTCTAGCCTCAACATCATTCTTGGTCTGTCCTGTCCATTTGGAATGCAGGCTCTTTGGGGCATGCACTGTCTTTCACTGTGCGTCTATCCTAATAGGGATCTAATCTCAGAAGCAGTAATGCCAGTAATGATATGCAGCATGGTATATAGTTGAGATTGACCAACACTTTCCATTTTAAGATTCTGTTTTCAGTTGCTTATAGCTCTGCCAAAATTAATTGGGCTGAAATTTACCATGCCAGATGTCCACTTTTTTGGGGGGGGAGAGAGAGAGGCGTAAGAGGGAGAAATATTTCAGACAAAATGTTCTTGGAAATGGTTGAAACAACACCAGGGAAAATGTATTATTTTTCCCCTGTTAAAAAAAAATCTTACAACTGTATTGTTAAGAAGCTGTAGCTCTCCCATGATTGGGAGTATGGACTTGAAGTTTGGCAAGGGTGTTGCCCTAGTACCATGATGTGCCTTTTGCAACCTTAGTGAAAATCTGCTCAAGTTTGTCCAAGTTCTGAGCCTCTGAAAAAAAAAAACCCAAAAAAAACATTTCATACAAGCACATTAGAGACTTGAAAATTTAGCCAGTTCTCCAAAAATTCCATCTGCACTGATCATGTTCTGTCCTGAAAAGGGATGTTAACTGAATAGTCAATTAACTTCATGTATTCTTATTGGTTACTCGACTATTCTATAATCCCCGGATGTGGGACCGGCAGCCAGTGTGCTCCAGCCCCACTCTCGAGGAGTTCCCTGCCACTCTGCTCTGCTGCCTCTGATACAAGCCAGGACTGAGCCGGGCTGCTCACCAGCCTGATAAAAAAACATTACTTGTGCAGAGTGGGAGGGAAGAATGCATGTAGTCTATAGAATTAACCTATAACCTTTTGCTTATTGGTTAATCAACTATACTATTACATCCCTAGACCCCCGAACACGGCTTCTATGATCTGACCACATTTCATATGTATCATCCCAGTGACTCAGCATACTCCACCCCAGGGTCATAGGAACAAAGCAAGACTTGCCCTGCAACTGCTCCTTTCACTGGCCAAGGACTGCTGCCACACCAAGCAAAGAACTCGGAGAGCAGGGAGACTGTCTCTTCTGTGCTCACAGTACTTCCATTACTGGAGCCCAGGCAGCAACAAGAAGAACGAGGGGATTGCTTGAGCGGAAAGGAGCTGAAGGTGGGAAAGGGGTAAGAAGGGAGACTGGTACACAAGGATAAAGACATGGGAACTACCTCAAAGAGCCAAGATGTGAGAGAGATAAGTAGAGGGACAAAGGGCAGAAGAATCAGTAACCACTAGACATCACTCTTTTCTGGGATGTCAGCAAATTAGGAATGTTAGATATCGATTAACTGAATAATTGTGTAACTACATCAAAACTTTGCAGCTATACAATTATTCGATAGACCCTGTCTAGGGATGGTGTAGGTGGAGCTTGGTCCTGCCTTGAGGGCGGGGGGCTGGACTCGATGACCTCTTGAGGTCCCTTCCAGTCCTATGATTCTATGACCCCAGAGGCAGGGGCAGCAGCCAGTATGCTCCCAGACACACTCCCGGGGAGGCCCTTCCACCTTGCGTTGCTGCCTCTGATCCAGAGAACTTAAAAAGCCATCTCCCCTCGCATATCGACTCCCTCCTGCCCCTCCACCCTGCACTACTGCCTCTGATAAAGGCAGCAGCGTGGCGTGGGGAGAAGGATGCAAGCAGCTCGTGTGAGCTGATACACACAGGGAATTGGCTTCCCACATGTAA